CCCTCCCCCCCGCGGCTCCTCCGGCGGGGCAGCCCCACGGCGCAGGTTCACCCACTGCTGCAGCTGCGTCATGGAGCTCTTCCTCTGAGCGATCTTCTCCGGGTTGGTGCGGGGCACAAAGCCCCGCCGGTGCACTGTGTGCTCCCCGTCCTGCGGTGGGTAGGCGGTGCTGCCAGGGCGGCTGGGGGACGAGTATTGCCAGCCGTTGGGTTGTGTGGACCTCTCCACCCCCCGGGAGGCTTCCGGGTAAGGGCTGCCGGGCTCAGAGGGCATCTCCTGGCCCACGATGCCGTTGGCTTTCATCAGGGGTTCCTTCTTGCCGTCGATCCTCTCCAGCTTCCTCTCCATCTTCTCTGAACCGCGTCCGTCTCCCTCCCCTCTGGTCTTGGCTTCCAGGTCCGCTTTGGGGGGCTCCCGCGGGGTGATGGTCCGGTGGTGGTGGTGGTGCTGCTTGCTGGGGGGGATGTTCTCAGAGTCCGTCTTCTCACGCCTGCCAGGCATAGAAGCGCCGCGTGTTACTCCCGCTGGACAGCAGCTCTGTGCCCTCATCACCCCAGGACAGCAGGGCTGAGCCAGGCCCTGTCCTCTAATGGGGTCCCCCTGCAAGGGATGGTTACTGACCTTCTTGGACCTGATGCTCCCCCAAATTGTGGCCAACACAACAAGTTCCCGAGGACTTCTCTTTTCTAGCCACGGCCCCTCCCAGCCCCTGTGGCTCATGGCCACTTTCCCTCATGTCCAAAGGGACCCCAAGTTATCTAGCAACTGTGCCCCCAAGTTAACCGCCATTGTGTCCCCCCCACCACACCCCTAGTTGGAACTAGGACCTCACAGTTCTCCAAAGAGGCCCCTCAAGTCACAACCACTGCTGAACGGTGCTGACCTCTGGGTGGGTGGGATCTGTACCCGGGCAGCCTCGCCCATGGCTTGGATCCATGACTCCTGCTCGTCGGTGTTCTCGGCGCTGAAGAAGTAGGTCCGGATGCCGGCGTGCTCAGCCTGGGGAGAGAGGGACTGCGTGTGACGCCCCAGCGCCTCCTCCACCCAGCACACGGTCACCTGCAGGGAGGGAGAGAAGCGAGAAGTCCGTCGTCAGGCCTCCTTGGTTCACGGGCACCTGGAGGCAGACGGGAAGCCGCGCCTGCCCTCCCGCAGCGCCAGCTCCACTGCATGCATTGCCACAGGCTCAGAGAGCTGGAGGAAGGCCCACCCAACTGTGAGGTCCAGCCCCCGTGCCAGGCAGGTGAAAAGGACCCCGTGCCGCAATAGCATTTCGGGAGAGGCCAGATATGGGTTACATGCTGTCGCCAGGGGCCTCCTCCCAGCCCCTTTGAGGGAGACACACAGAGCGCATGCATGGCTCTCCCCATAGCAGGGATGGGAAAGGTTAGCTGCCTCCCCGGCTAACCAGCAAACTGCATCCTCAAAGGGTGAGGCTTACCAGTTCCGGTTAACTAGTAACTGGTGGGAGCTGGAGCAGAATGGACCCCTCTGGCATGCAGCCCTTGTTAAAAATGAAATAGGATAGCTCTCTGCAGGAAAGATCCCAAGCAGGACAGCTAGTCCGCTGCAGGGCTCGGGGCAGTCAGTGCACAATCGTGGAGCACGGATTTCATGAGCATTTAGAACTCTGACCAGGCATAGTGAAAAGAGCAGTTTGGGCACTTCTGGCTCAGACCAGGGGCAAGAGTGGAGAGAGAAACTCCCCTCCCTACTCTCCTGATCCCATCTGAAGGTTGGGCTTCAGCTGCAGACTCGGCTAACGGTTCCAGCCAGGGCTGGGTTTGGCCATCTGCACACCACTGTAAGCACCACTCCCATGTACTCCCTGACACTGCTAGTGATCACAGCATCCAGATGAAGGCTCTGCCCTGGAGCATTCCTAAACGGGAGGAAGATGTCCCACCAGGCATGGATTTATCCAAACTCCTCCAGCTCACAACGGCAGCTCCAGACAGGCCTGTCTCAAAACCTCCCGCATGTGACCAGCTGGCCAGCCAGGGAACTCAGAATCAGGAAGTGGCAGGATGCTCCACTGAGCCACACCCCAGACCCAAATGCTCTTTGCAAATCTGGATGCAAATCTTAGCGCAGGTCCCTTCGGAGGGTCCGAGCTGTACACAGGAATCACCCGGCAGCAGCACGATCCGAACAGAGCTGGTCAAAATGTTCTCGCTGGGTGTGAGGTTGATGAAAACCAGCTTTTCGAATCAAACCAATTTGAGGGGAGAAATTTACATTTGGGTCCATATCCTCTGGCTTTTTGACCAAAAAGTACACATTCTCCGAGATTCTTTTGGTTCTCTGGTTCCCCCCTCTTTTCTCCTCCCTTCCTTTTCCTTCCCACGGACCCCAAAGGCTGAAAACCAAGTTTTTGATGCTTGTTTTGCCAAAAACACCAACAAAATCCACCAAAACAGAATGTTCTTCCTTGTGTTCTAATCCTCTCCCCTCCTAGGGAATATGTAGCATTTTTGACCGGCTGCTGTTACTAGTCAAGGGCCCAGCCTCATTGGAACCTTTCCTGACAGACCCATACAAACCTCAATCTTTCCACCACGTTCTACACACAAGGACAGTCTAAGCATGCAATCGGCAAGGGAGAGGCATCAGCCCCCGTGATTCGTTCCCCTTCAGGCAGGGGTGGATAAGGCATGCGGGACAGTCTATGACTGGCCATATCCATGCATTTGGAAATGGAAGGAGCATACTACCTATTTGGTGGCCGTGTGCTGGCTTTGCAGACGGGCACTTGGAAGAAAACTCCTCTCCAGGGGGGAGATCCTCACGTGGAAGAAAGGAGGAAACACAGAGAACAGGTCAAACCACGCCCAGCAGGGAATTCAAAAGAGAGATGCACCGGGCAGGCAGCACTGTCACCAAAGAGGGGCAGCTGGGGGATAGCTGAGAAGATGCTCAGGGCTGGTGAGCCCAAAATTAGAGGATGGAGCTCTTACCTGTTTCACAGCCTCCTGCCAGGCCTGGTCCAGCATTCTGGGCAGGTACAGACGGCTGGAGCAGGCCCGCAGGAGTCAGAAATCAGTTCTGTCTCACATGGCCCCCATGCGAGGACAGGTTAATATCATCTCTAGTTTGCAAGCAAGACACAGTGGAGTCAACCAGGACTGCTCCCCCCCCCCATTTGTCCCAGCCGAGTGCAAGGCTGGTGTGAACATGACTAAATAAGGCATCTCCTCAGGCGGACTCAGGTGGTATGTTTTATGGCCACTCTGCACAGGGCAGGTGCTACCCCTCCACTACTCTGCCAACATGACCCAGCCCTGACTCGAGATGAACTGTAGAGGAGGGTAGAGTGCAGGGAGCGCTCTGACTTATTCCTTCTGGGGCCCCTCTGATGACACCACCCACCCGAGAGTCAATTAATACCATCTGTCTCAGACAGATACTGGTCCATCGAGTCCGGGAATGGGACCCACCAAATCTTTCCCTGTGGGGAAACACAGAACAGCCATCAGATGGGGACTCTAGAGATGGCCGGCTCTTTGGCATACACCTAAGCGCTGACTTTGACAGGATTCAAACCTACAAATGAAGGTTCATGTAAAACCACTACTCAACTTCTGAGCCTCATTGATGGCTATTAGACAGCAGGTATAAAACCAGAAAAAGGGAGCATTTCTTCACATAGCGCACAGTCAATCTGTGGAACTCCTTGCCAGAGGATGTTGTGAAGACCAGGACTTTAACAGGGTTCAAAAAAAAAGAGCTAGATTAATTTATGGAGGATAGGTCCATCAATAGCTATCAGCCAGGATGGACAGGAACCATGTCCTTCGCCGCTGTTTGTCAGAAGCTGGGAACGGGTGACAGGGAAGGGATCACTTGACGATTCCCTGTTCTTGTCACTTCCTCTGGGGCACCTGGCATGGTCCACTGTTGGGAGACGGGACACTGGGCTAGATGGACCTTTACTCTGACCCTGTAAGGCCATCCTTATGGCTTATTCCACTCTCTTTTCCCCATTACTGCTAATCAGGATGAATCCCTGAATACTAGAGATGGGTCAGAACCACCATGCAGGATCCAGGGTGCCTCTGAATTTTGGGAAAATTTAGAAACAGATTCAAGTTCCATGGCTCAGAGTCACTGGTAGAAGGGAACATCACAGAGACGCTTTCTCCTTTATCATTCCCAGGGAGGGCTATCTATTTACCTGTCCAGTGCATTTCTAAGGCAACTCTCCTTCTACTCTTAAAGCCCTGTACAGAATTCAGAAATATTGGTGTCCACAAGAAAAATGGTTCTTTGTGCAAGACTGGCTGGGAAAATGTCCATTTGCTCCAATGGCAATTTTGAAACATTTTTGGTTTTAGCTCAATTTATTCCCTAAAAACTTCCAGTTTTTTTTTTTTTTTTTTAACGAAAAACAAAACAAAAAGATGCTCTAGCTTTTTGGGGAGAGGGACAAAACGGTTTTCAGTACAAATTTAAAACAAACACTTGTCGGGCAAAAAAAGGGGGAGGGGACAATAGCTCAGTGGTTTGAGCATTAGCCTGCTAAACCCCAGATTGTGAGTTTAGTCCTAGAGGGGGGGCCATTGAGGGATCTGGGGCAAATCTGTCATGGATGGTACTCGGTCCTGTTGTGAGGGCAGGGGACTGGACTCAAGGTCCCTTCCAGCTCCACGAGATGGTATATCTCCAGATTATAAAATTTCTCTTTTGCAAAAAAAAAAAATGGTTTTCCTTTGGGGGCAGGCAGGAGAAAACTGTGTTTGGATGGAAACCTTTCATGCCTCAGCCCTCAGTGGAAAGAGGTACACGAATAGAAGCAGTGAGCAGCATCCACACCTGCACCTAGGATCAGCATGGTCCCTAGCAACTAGAGAAGAACTCCAGTGATGTGCCGAGGGAAATGTGCCCTCAGCGCTGGGATCACCCAACCCCAGATCTTGCCTCACTCCCCCAGAGCCATTGCTGACTCAGGGCCCACGCATGTGCTCATGTCCTATTGGAGTCAACGGGACTGAACATATATTTTGCCCATTTGGCACCTGCCAACCACTGTAGTGCCGCAGAAGCCAAAGGGACCACACAGCATGTGACTGCAAAAATCCAGCTGCCAAGGGCTTGCCATGGAAGCAATCTCTGACCTCCCCCAAACCTGGGTCAGGAAGGAGGCAGCGGAGGAGGGTAGTAAAACAGAAGAAAGCCTTAAATTGCTCACTCACTGCCAGAGGTGGAGTGTGACCAGCATTTTCTCTAACCCGGGCTCCCATTGTTCCCCCTATGGGTGTGAAGGGGTTAACCTGATTGGCATGGAGTTCAGGAAGCACGATCCATTTTTTATTAATGACCCAAATGTTCCCAGGGCTTGCCAACTCATCAAGGTTCTTTCCCTTGCTCTCTTATTTTACTGCCATTAATAGGACACTGTAGTCAGCCTCTGGAAGGCAGAGCAGACCTTTAGCCCTCTGCTGAATGTTGCAAAACACAGTGTGGCGCGGGAGCGACTCTCTGCAAACAATATTCCAGTGATGAGCCCCCCAAAAATGCCTGTGAATAAAACAGCAGCAAGGGGCGGGAGGAGCCCGGTCCCAGGCTAGAGAGAATCAAGGCTGTGTGTGCGTGGCTGCAGTTCTGACCCCAGCTGGAGGGAATCAAGGCATTCTGTGTGGGCGTGTGTTTTCGGGACTTGTTTCTCTGTGTACGTTTTTGGGCATCAGTGGGTGAGCTGGGCTGTGTTTGAGGGAGAGCTGTGTGTAAACGTGTGCAAAACGTGTTTGCATTCACGCACGTGTGTGTGTATGCAATTGCCCACAATGTGTGTTACGTGCAAGAGTGAAAAAAAAATCCTTTCAGGGGGAGTCTGGCCCCTGGCTTGGGTGCAAATTGACATCTGCATTCCTGAACATACTGATTATTAAGTCTAGGTGAGTTCTGAGCCTGGGCTACCATGTGAACAATTGTACTTGTGCATGCACGAGCGTGTGCATGGAACAATAATTGTTCTTGGGGGAATAAAACTCAACAGCGCCTTTTGCCCAGAGCTCTGCAGGAGTTTCACAACTTGTCACTGCTCCTGTGTCCATTGAGCCCCTCAGCACAGAAGTTTGACAAGTAGAAACTAATTACATGCTAAACAATTATTAGCCTGTGCGCGCGCGCACACACGCACACACACAAGTCTAAACTAGTTAGAAAGGGAGATGGGGGAAGACCCCTGGCACATCGGGGCTTGCACGCAACCTAATTACAGCCGAGGGTTCAATTCTATAGCAACGCTGACTTAGGTATGTTTGTTATTTTTATTAAAACAGGAGACTAATCTCCAACAAGGGAAACGGCTTGGGAAAACCCCGTCACGTCAGCACAGCTACCAGCTAGGAAGGAGAAACCCCCTGCTTTGCCCTGGGTTACACACAGTGATCACCTCTGGCTAGAAGCAGTTCACTCTGTGCAGAGGGCAAACACACTTAAACCCACGTGGCAGACACAAGGCCCATGCAGTGCTGGCAGTTAGAGGCAGGGTGGCCTAGTTCCTAGACCACCAGAGTAGGCGTGAAGAGACCTGTGTTCTCTTCTTGACTCTGCCACCCGCCTGCAAGATGACCTTGGGCAAGTCACTTCCTGGCTGCGTGCCTCAGTTTCCCCCATTTGCACAAGCGGGATAATGACCCTGGCCTCCTTCGAAGCGTGCTTGCGCGCTATGGGTGTGAAGCGCTCGCGGGTGTTACTTTTGGGCTTGCTCTCCGCACGGGGGTCAATTTCAGTATTAGCAGCAAGACAGCTAAGCACCCTCCGCTCCGTCAGCTCCAATTGACTTCAGTAGGTCGGGGCTAAGTCATTGTTTACAGGGAATACTTGAGCAAATAAACTCCATTCTTTCTGGTCTCCCAAGCAGCCCAGAGCCTTGCAGCTCCCCGGAAGGGTGATCATCCAGCATTCAAGAGCAATGCACTGGAGCTAAGGTGAGGCACAGAGGAGCAGAACTGGTTTAGCATTCGTGGCGGGGAAGGCCTCCGCTCACAACCTGCATGGCCATGAGAGGAATTAGGCCTCCCCCTCCATGAATGCTAAGCCAGTTCTGCTCCTCAGTGCCTAACCTTAGCTCCACCTCATGCGTGCTCCCTCTCTGGAGCCACACACGAGCAGTCCGGGGGGGGGGGGATTCCAAATGCAACAATTGCAGAATCCACCCAGGACTACGGCTCCTCTCCAGGTAGAGGGACAGCTTCAGAGCGGGGACTGCAGCAGGACTCTTCCTACCTCCTGAGCCCCCAATTCATGGGACGCCTGGACTGGACTTTGCTTTCTGGCTAAACATTACTGGACAGGAAACTTAGAGACCCACTTCTCTGCGTCACTCCTCACGGGGGATCCTTCTGAGCAAGGCACGTCGCTCACAACGGGGATGCCATATGCTCCGGCTTGGTGCACATGTGACGGATGACTGAAGGGGCAGGGGAGGTCATGCCCTCGAGGGCTGTGAGAACTGGATGGAGCAAGGTTAGAGGACACAGCGGGAAAACTTTCGCTGCCGTTACCCCCGGGGGGGGGGTGTACCAAAGATCCCATTTTGCAGCAGCCAACCAAGCCGCTAATGCTGGGCTGTGTGCCTCGGTTTCCCCACCTGCACAACTAGTGCTCAATCTTCCTGTTGGGTCTAGGGATGTGAACAGGCAGCCCACACAGGGCCGGGAGCTGGCAGCCCTGCGTAGGGCCAGAAGCAACCAAGCTGGAGCATCCCCCCTGCTCACCTCCTTTTTAAATTGGTTAACGGCTTAAACGTGACGTTTAACCAGTTAACTCATTCAACAGTTCATCTTTGCTAAGCACCCATAGCTGCTCACACCTTCCCCATGCGCCAGTCACCACAGAAAGCGGCGAGCCCAAGCCAGCAGCCTGCTGAGCGTCGCTGTTACCCGCCGGTGGCGTCTGGCCTCCCCCGGCACCCACGCTC